GGTGAGAACCCATCCCGCCACCCTACCCGCGGGGACTCGAACGCCTTGTAACCAACCTCCCAGCTCCTGCAAACGTGATCCGTTGTCGGGAACTCGCCCGTCAGGCAGTGCCAGGGGCAGTCCCGCGTGGGTCCTCGTGCCTCAGGACAGGAGGCACCCAGAACTGTTAGTGGGGCCCACAATTCCTTTCAAGGTGCACGAATTTGTGCACTGGGCGCCTAGTGGACAAATAAATACAATTAAATCACACTTTTCAAATGGCAGCACAATAAAAGTATTTAGATATATTATTTTTCTATACTTTTAGAATTTTTAAAAATTGAGGTGTATCAAACATATAGTAAATCACACAAATCATAAATGTATATATATTTTTAGTTTTTACATATGTACACACATTTTCCCTGTTTTACAGCTGAGAACACTGAGACACAGAGAGAGTAATTTGCCCTTGGAGAATTGCACTTAATAAATGCTATTAAATATTAGATATTATTAGTAATGTAGAGGGATTAGTTAAGTTAAAGGGTTGTATAAGGATTGTGTGGTCCCAAGCAATCAATATATTTGTCAATCTCAGACAGACACCCCTCTTTCACACCAATTTTTTTAATTATTTCTAAATATATATTTTATTGATTTTACAGCAAAGAAGGGACAAGGGTAGAGAGTTAGAAACATCAATGAGAGAGAAGCATTGATCAGCTGCCTCCTGCACACCCCCTACTGGGGATGTGCCTGCAACCAAGGTACATGCCCTTGACCGGAATCGAACCTGGGACCCTTCAGTCCCCAGGTCGATGCTCTATCCAGTGAGCCAAACCGGCTAGGGCAACATCTAAATATATTTTATTGATTTTTTACAGAGAGGAAGGGAGAGGGATAGAGAGTTAGAAACATCAATGAGAGAGAAACATCGACCAGCTGCCTCCTGCACACTCCCCACTGGGGATGTGCCCACAACCAAGGTACATGCCCTTGACCAGAATTGAACCTGGGATCCTTCAGTCCGCAGGCCGATGCTCTATCCACTGAGCCAAACCGGTTAGGGCCACACCAATTTTGAAATCTATTTCTTATTGGAAAACTAAGAGAAGTCAGAAGATTTAGGTCCTGGTTCTCAATTACTTTCCTTAATACAATCTACTTTACAGAGCTATCCGGAAGGTAAAAATCAGCCTGCTCAGGGAAAGCACATTGTCAATTATAAAGCACTAGTATAATAGGTGTTCGATTTATCTTCTGCAGGGCTTCAGCAATTTAGAAGAGTGCTTCCAGCCCTTTTTGCAAAACTCCCTCATCCTTCCCGACCCCAAGAGTTTTTAATTAAGTACTTTTTCCGTTCAAGAGAAAAGTTTTCCGCCAGCTGAAAGCCCCAAGGCCAGGGTAAAGATGGAGGGCGGTCAATTACAGCCACTCCGACAGAATCCCGCTACTCAGGGAGGTTTAAGCAGCTGTATCTTCTGGTGTAAACAACATCTCAGGGGCGACCCACCTCCCCACCTGGCGCCCTCTTTGACTGGGATCCAGAGCACGCCGGGAATTGTAGTTTCCGAAGGCCCAGTTCAGTCAGCGCATGCGCTCCGAACTCCCTCTCCTCCCCCTCCCCGCCCTCGCCCCTGCCCCTGCCACTCCCGGATAAGGAAGTGGCCAGTGATGCCACGCGTTCTACGGGCCGTGGCCGTGGGCTTCTGGGAATTGTAGTCGCTGAGGGCAGACTCGGTCGGTAAGGAGACGTAGACTTCCTTGGGGTCCGCTACCGCAGTTGGCTCCCCACGGGAGCGGCGAGGTCAGTCCGCAGCTCTCCCCTCAGGGCGCTCCGCCCGAGGCTGAGAAGGCGCTTTCCTCCCCCCCGGCTTCCCCTCTGCGGCGCTGGATGCTCCTTGCCCCACATTCCATTCCCCTGCCCAGGTCCTCTCCCTCTCGGGTCCATCTCCGAAGCCCGGGGTTAGCGGGCGCTCGCCCTCGGGGAGAGACAGGGCCGCGAC